GTCACTGGGCCAGTTAGGGGCTGAGCTGGGACTAGGCCCGGCTCCTATTCTCATCCTGCCCATTACCCCTCTCCCCTGGCGCTGCCTTGTCGTCTCTCTGGGCCTTACATTGCTGAGTGGGGGCGAGGACCTGGCCCAGCACCTCCCACAGAGCTCTCCTGCCTGTTGGTCCAATGCACTGGATTCTGGTTTTTCCTGCCTACCCTGCGGCGGTTCCCACCCCCCTCTAGGGCCTCAGGTTCTCCCACTTCGGCCAGGTGGGCCTCAAGAGGTGCTGGGGTTGGAGGCTTCTCCTACTCCAGTCTTGGCTCTCCCACCCCCGGCCTGACCGTCCCAGGTCCTTGGTGGGGACAGGGAGCATGACGTCTGATGTTGGCTGTGTGTGTGTGTGTATGCTCAGTGCCGTGTGAGGGCCTGCCACGTGGGGCACGCTCACATTCCTGAACTCCGCCGGGAAGGACCGAGCTGTACCTCACCGCATAAGCTCATCCCGGCCGCGCTCTGCCTGCTGTGGGAGGTGACGAGGATCCGAGCCCCGTCTGGCTCCAGCATCTGGATCCAGCTGTTGTATTCTGCACAGACCTGCAGGGCTAGGCCTGTAGCCCCGACTCCCACCTCCTCTGATCCTGGGCCATGTCTGGAGACACTTCTGACTAAAACAACTGGGAGAAGTGCCGCTGGCATCTAGGGACAGTGGATGTCACGAGGAATGACCCAGCCCCACTGCAGCAGTGCCAAGGCAGGGAAGATGATGGGGGTGTCCGCTGTGCCTCCACGACTGTGCCACTCCCCCGGGGCCCTTCCAGCCACTTCCAGCCTGCCTTTGGAGATACAGGTGGTGCCTCCGGGCTACCCCGGGTGCAAGGGGCAGATGAACAGCAAGTCATTGTCATGCTGGTCACCCTTCATCTGCCTGAGTGTGTGCTGGGCACACACTCGGGGTGGCATGAAGGACCGCAAGTCCTCTCTCAGCCAGCGGGAAGGTGGGTGCTGCCAACCTCGGGCGCCTCCACAGTGACGGCCACACAGCAGCAGCTCCACAGCTGTTCTTCTTCGTCAGACAGCACATGCGCTTGACAGAGACAGGGCGGGGAGGGGAGTGAGAAGGCACCCACGGGACAGTCATGTCGCAATCCTTCCCCATTTTTGCGGGATTTTGGCACACATGCACATGTGCCTAGGATGTTTTCAATATTTTTAGGAGAGATTTTTTTTGCTATAGGGCACATGTGCTTGCCGGAGAGACAGAGAGAGAGTGAAAAATCCCCCTGCCCCCATGGGGGTAGCCACACCGCAATCCCTCCTCCTCTTCTCCTCTCGGGATTTTGGACACGCATGTGCACACTCCTGGTGTGAGTTTCAAGCTGCCAGGCCCAGGACTCAAACTGCAGGTCAAGTGGGAGTCCGGCACCTCACAGCTGCGCTCCCTGCCCTCTCCACCTGGTGCATTTGCAAGCTGCCAGTCTGGGACTGGAGCCGTGTGGGCGGCCACGTGGGACCCGGCCGCCTAGACCGTACCATCAGCTTGCCCACTCAGCAACTTTTTGTTTTTAAAGAATCATTTATTTAACTTTTCAATTTACTTATTTTAATTTGACCAGAGAGGGACAGAGAAAGAGAGAGAGAGGGAAAGTGAGAAAGCAAACTGCCAGGTTCAGGATTCGAACCGTGGTCAGCCATGTGAGAGTCCAGTGCCTTTATTCACCACGCCACCTGCTGACCCCTCACCAACTTTTTTTTTTTGAGAGGTTTTTGCTATAGGGCGCATGCACTCACCAGAAAGAGAGAGAGAGACAGAGAGACAGAAAGCAAGAAATCACCCCCCAGGGGGGATGGCCACACCACAATCCCTTCTCCTCCATTCTCCTCTCGGGATCTTGGGCACGCACGCACATGTGCCCAGCATGAGGTTAAGCCACCGGGTCTGGGACTAGAACCACGGTCGACTAAATGGGAGTCCAGCGACATAGCCATTACACCAACTGTTGGTCCTATCAGCAACTGTTTTTAATGAATATAACAAATTAGTTCATTTGACAGTTGAGAGGAGCGAGGTTCAGAGAAGGACTGTGATGGACAGTCGAAGTGGGACTCGAGGTGTTTCCAGATCCTTTGTTTTGGATGGGCTACAACCTGCGTGCCTCTGAGCGTCATTCCCTGCATCACATCCTTGCTTCTGGAGTTCTGCCAGGGACAACGGGCCTTTATCACCTAAACCCTCCGAGGAACTGTGAGGGCAGCGGGGACCGTTGTGCCCATTCTGTAGGTGGGCAAATGGGGCCCCCTGGCTAGGCTCTGTGCCCCCAGACCCAGCTGTGCCAGCTGCTGGGCAGATGTGAGCAGAGCAAAGCCTGGGAGGCCTCCGCCAGTGCGCGGGCTCCTTCCCTTCCCTGCTCAGCCCTGCATGTGGGCAGGGCGCAGTGAGGCCCGTGGGTGGGCGGTGCTCGTGGGTGGACTTCGCCAGCAGAAGAGCGCCGGGGCACACTGATGGGACGCTGGACCAGCGTGGTAGGGTGCTGGGTTCATGTCCCAGGGGCTCCCTGATCATGCTGGGCACGGAGTGTGTGCCCCTGATTGGGGCCAGCTGACACAGGGTGGATCGCGGCCTGAAGACCGGGGGGGGGGGGGGGGGGCTAGGGGCGGGGGGGGGGGGGGGGAGTGCCTGCCTGTCTCTGTATCCTTTTGTCTCTCTCTCACTAAAGAATAAACTTTAAATAAAAAAGGCATTTTGAAAGGGAAGATGGCTGGACACGGGCATGTACGTGACTGACCCTCTGTGGGGACATGGCAGAACTCTTCTGTTGGCCCAGAGATCTGGACGTGGACATGAAGCTGGGGACCACCCTGAAGGTCAAGGGTAAGATGGCCAGTGATGCTGATGGTGAGCACGGTCGGGGCTGGGAGTGTCCACGGCCGGGGCCAGGCAGGGAAGTGGAAGAGGACAACGGAAACTTCAGCCAAGGGGCCTTCGTTCCTTTTCTGTTTTCTAGTTTTTTGTTTGCTACGAGGCCTGTGCTCACTGGAGAGACAGACAGAGAGGGAAAGTGAGAGATCAGCCCTCGAGGGGTTGGCTATGCCTCCATGCCTTTTCCAGTCTCCTCTACCTCTCAGGCCCTCCCCCCTACCCCCTCCTGGCTCTCCTCATAGACCTGCCCTCCCCTCCGAGACTGGGGATCTTCGGGGTTTAGAGCTGACGCTGGCTGCTCCATTCCTTTGTGGAGCCCCCTGAGCTCTGCCTGGGCCCTGCGGGACAGGTGCCTCTACTGAGCGCCAACCCCCCAGGGACATCACCTCTCCCCCATGAATGGCTAAGCCAGGGGCAGCCACTGGGGGGCGCCAAGTGACCCTGCCTGCATCGCCTGCGTCAGAGCCGGGGCGTTACTCCACTCCACCGACGCTCACAGGGTCTGGTGCATACGGGACTGTCCCCGCATGCCGGGGCACCGGCCTCCACGCACTTTTGAAGGGGGCAGTGGGGTGATGCATGGAGTAGACGCCAAGAGAAAAGTGACTCCTTCCCCCACATTGGCCCCTTCAGTGTAGGAATGGGGGACCCACCCTAGTCAGACTCTCAAATGGGGACACTCCTTGACCCTGAATGTCCCACTCTCAGGGACCCTGAAAGACTAACCCAGGCTCCTGTAGTGACCCTGTCGGTAAGCCACAGCCTGACTGTAGCCCCTTGGTGACAGGGGTCACCGCCTCAGGCTGGCTACTGCTTATGGCCGACCTCAGCAGACCTTCGGGTACCTGGGGACAGCAGTTCTCTCCCAGGACACCCCAATTCCTGAAACTGTCTCAACCATTTACCCTCCAGCAACAGCCTCACTCCTAGCTCCAAATGAAACGCACCACTTCTGTGCCCAGACTAACCGGGTTGGCGCCTCCTTTAGGGGTCAGATCGCCATGAACATAACCTTACGTAGGCGACTCTTCCAGCTGCGGTCCGCGATCCCGCGGTCTGCGATCCCCCGGTCCACACTGTCCCCCAGGGCGGCTCCCTGAAGCTCACCTACCATCCCTCCCCAAGCTTTGTGATTAACTCAGGTCAAGTGCAGATAAGCTACACTTGCATTTCAATCCACACGTCCACCATGGCCACTCACGGTGTGGGGCAACTGTGGACAAGAGCCACTGGAGGACCACATGTGCCTCAGTCTAGGGTCAGAGGTCAAGGTCATGGAGGAAGCAGGCCTGGGGAGGATGTTTAGGGGCAGAGAGAGCCCAGATGGTGAGGTGTACATATTGGCATGAGTTGGCACCTCTGACACCTTCCTGCCCACTGAAGTTGACCGTGACCTCTGAGTGACAGCTTCAAAAGGTCAAACAACTGGATAGGTACCAGCTGACCTTTCCCAACAGGCTGGGTCACAGCCACCTGACTACCTGAGTGTGCAGGGGCCTCAGCATCTCCTTCGAGCTTGACTAAGAAAATGCCCTCGGGGCCAGCAGGTGGCGTGGTGGTTAAGGTGCTGGACTCCCACATGGCCAACCATGCAACCGTGATTCTAGTCCTAGATCTGGTGGCTTGCTTTTCTCACTCTCTCTGGTTAAACTGAAGAATAATAAATAACTGTATTTTTTTTTTTTTGGAGAGGTTTTTGCTAGGGCAAGTGCACCCAACAGAAAGACAGACAGGAAGTGAGAAATCACCCCCTAAGAGAGATGGCCACACTGCAATCCTTTCTCCTGCATTCTCCTCTCAGAATCTTGGGTACGCACATATACGCACCCGGCATGAGTTTAAGCCACTGGGTCCCGGACTTGAACTTCGGTCAACTACATGGGAGTCCAGTGACACAGTCATTCCATCAACTGCTGGTCTCTAAGAATAATAAATTAAAAAAAAAAAGAAAAAAGAAAAAGCCCTGGTGGGCTCCTGTCCTGAGCCTCGTCACTCTGGGCCAGTAGCCCTTGGGTCCGGACCACTCCTACCCACAGCTCCTCCCCTCTGGCCCCTTCCCCTCCCAAGGCCAGACACACACACTGCGGAGTCTGTGGCGGGGACTAATGTTTTCCTTACATTTTAATGCTCCTGGCATTGTCATGACAGAGGACACTAAGGCACAAGGACAGGACCAAGTGGGGCCGGGTCACACTTCCACACAGCTCCAGGCACTCGCTCCTGCCCACCTGTCCCCTGTCCCAGCTGAGCAAATGCCAAGTTGCCCCGTGGGATTATGGGGCAGGCACCTGGGCCAGGGCCTGTCCCGGAACTTCAGATAAGGGCTGCCACCTGGGCCTTCCTGCAGGGCTGTCCAGACTGGTTACTCATTACCCCAGCCTGGGGGCCTGAGGGGGCCCTCAGCTTTCCAAACTCCCTGGAGGCGGAGGGCTGTTTAAGCAGGTGGCGCTGAGGCTGTTCTCCCAGGTCCCCAAGCATCTTGCAGGGCACCTTTTATCAAAAAGGCCTTTTTAAACCAGGCCCCAGAGGCAGGGCTGGGTACCCAGGAAGGTGGGATTCTTCCCCTGTGAGGTCACGCTGACCTTTCTCGGAGGCTTCTGGGACAAGTGAGGCTAGGGTGGAAATGCTGGGGGTGCAGCCTGGGCTGGGGCTCTCAGGGAGGTGGTGGGGCAGCTCTGGGTGAGCTGGGAGCAGGGACAATGGCCCTGTGTGGCCCACCCCCACCCAACAAAGGCCACAGTGTGAGGCCGGGCTCTGGCGGGTGGGGGCTGCACGGGTGAGGCCTGAGGAGTGGCTGCTGGCTCCGCGCGGCTGTGTGGGTAGGCGGGTCAGCCCAGCAAGGTCCCTGCGGACACCGGGGCCCAGCACAAGCCTGGTCTTCTGTCCTCCCTCCCGTCTGTCCTGCAGAGACGGGGAGGGCTTTGGGGGCAACCAGGGTCCTCCCACCTCTGGCCTGGCAGGACCCAGCTGTTAGGGGGTGCTGGCTCTGCAGATGGCCCCAATGGGTGGGGCCCCTGGCCACACCCGCCACTCACACCTTGACCTCATCATCCTCCTCAGCATCGACAAACTCGAAGGTGTTTGCTTGCACTGTGCTGGGCACAGGGGTCCTGCTTCCCGCCTGGGGTGCCACCCACTCTTCATCGAGGCTCTCCCAGGAGGCCCGGGCCTGGGGCACCACCCTGGCCACCTCCCTGCGAGCATCCACCTCTGTGTAGAGCCGGCTGCCCACACAGCCTGCCCCCCAGGGCCTGCCCAGGGCCATGTCGGCAGGGACTCGGGTGCCTTCTCCTACCGGGCTGGCCCCCCTCACGCCAGCCACTGGGCCCGATCTAGCCATTACTCCATTGGGGCAGTGTCCATGGGCTGGGAGGTCTGCGGCGGGAGCTGGAGGGTTTGTGGCAGGGGCTGGGCTCTCAGCTGCGGGGGCTTCCGAGAGGCTCATGACTCCCAGCAGCTCGCTGAGGAGAGACGGCCCAAGGTCGAGGTCAAGGCGGAAGGACAGGAGGGAGTCAGAGCGGCGCAGCTCGGGCTCAGCAGGGAAGGAGTTATCACAGTCTCGGTCACGAGGCCTTTCTGTGCGGGGCAGGCGGGAGATGGTGCAGAACCCGGAGTCCAGACCTAGAACAGAAAGGGGGAGTGGAGTCAGAGCTGGGGACCCTAACCAAGGACCTGGCAGGCTACGCCCCTCTCTGCCCTGGTCCCCTCTTCCCACTGTAGTGAGCCCCATGCCAAGTGTGGTGCTGTCAGCCCTGGAGCTGTCGCAGGCCTCACTGTTATGGGCGGCGATGAGGGGCTCCCACAAGACCAGGGTGTGATGAGGGAAGCCAAGCCTGGGGCTCAAAACATGAACTTGGCCAGGGCCCCCAGGACCCTGCCCTGACACTGGCTTCCGGCTGCAGGAGCTTGGAGCACGCGGGCTGCCGACAGGCACGTGCCCCGACTTCATCTGGTCCAGCCCTGACTCCAGGGCTACGAGGGGGCTCTGTGGGCCAGTCTGCAGTCGGGTGGAGCGGCCCCTGGAACAGGAGCCGAGAGGAAGCCTCCACTGGTGGAGCGTGTGCAAAGCTGCAAGGCAGGGAATAGCCACCAGGGGGCAGCAGGGGCCCATGGTTTCAGGTGAGCTGTCCCAGCAGAGCCAAGCTGGCACTTCCGGCAGGACAAAAAGGGCCTCTGGCTTGTGCCAGTGTGGGTGGTTTCCAAATTTGTCAAGTTACAGAAACCTGTTCAAATGACAACAGCTTGAGTGTCCCGAGCACCTACCATATCCCAGACCCTAGGCCTTGCTTAGTATACCTATGACGTCACCGAATATTAGCAGTGACCCTAGGGGACTTATTCTACAGGCCAGGATTAGAATCCAGAGCCCAGGCTCTTAACCCCCACAAAATCAACCGGCCGTAACACGGCTGGTCTGGTCGAAGGAGGCCAGGGGTGGGCTGGCCCGGCGGAGGGCAAACGAGGAAGGGCTTAGATGGCCACACGGCAAGTTAGGGGCAGTTATAACCTACACCCCTCTCCACCTCGGCATGTTCTGGGGGTGAGCTGCTCCCCTCACCCCCCCCATCCAAGGTGTGGGATTCGGACCTGCCCCCCACGCTGAGACTCGGCCTCGGCGTCTGGACAGTGGGCAGGGGAGCCAGGCCCTCACCGTAGCTGGAGTGGCCGTCCGTGGTGCTGGCAGGGCTGCTGTCGAAGTTGATCTTGCCCACCACGAGGCTGTCGTAGGTCGCCTGGTTGAGCTGGGGCAGGGAGATGGCGTTCTTGATGATGGGCGAGATGGCAGGTGGGGCTGGCGAGGGCGCGGGTGGGGAAGCCATCCGCCCGGGCGGCACCCCCACCCCCCGCATCAGCTGTAGCTTCTTGGGCC